TACACCACCTAGTGAGGTGGCAGTGTGATTACATATATGAAGAATGTGGACACTACAAAATAAGATTGATTGTATATTCTGCGCAATGGAATACAAACAAGTAATCCTATACAAAAGTGGAATAGGCAATCTATGGAGAACGTGGGTTCTTCATTTCTGGAGGTTTTTAAGATGAATCTCTTATGGATGGTTTAATTGGTTTTCTGGCACATTGCAATAGGTTAGACTAGTCGTTCTTTGCAGTCTCCTTCCAATGCTATCTGGTACAATGCTACATCCGTAGCTAATTACAAAAGTGCATCTGAAAGATTATGGTTGTACAGCCAACTGCAAATAGACATATGCCTGTTATATAAAAAAGGGTTCTTTATGTATGTTATCACCATAGTTTGACCATGTGATAAAAAAATATCTAGAATTCTCACATGCAGATAACGTTTTATATAATAGCACATGTTCATGGCAGAAAAACATAATCCTTGACTCAAGTGATTTACAATCAATATCAGCTTTCATCATCTCCAGCTATGTGTTTTGTAGAGTTTATAGGGACATCACTTTCAAACAGCAGGTTCTAATTGTTCTGAAGATTGTGGCTGTGTATGCGTGTTCTGTGTGTATGTGTTTGAAAATGGAAATGTTGTGCTTTTTATAGTTTAATCATCATCATTCTAATAGTAGATCTATAGGCTTTACATCCAAATACTTTTTGGCATTGGGTGAAATGCTTCTATGCATTTTCATGCAGTCCTTCTTTTCCCACATAAAACTGGGAAAAGAACATTCTCTGTAATCATGGCAAATGGTTTTCTGTCTATTCTAGCCTTCCCAATGTGGCGCTTTCCAACTAACTTAAACTACAACACAGCCAGAGTTGTATATTCTGATCTTTGACGCTCCCTTGGTAGGACTTTGCAGAAGAAATCCCAGGCTTCCAAATATCAGAAAATTGCTTAGTAAAAATCTGTAGTAAAGGAAATAAAGCGCTTAGTTGTATTGTGTGGAAGTAACCATCCGTTACCCCTTCGCCTGATGGATAATGGGTTCACTTTCATTTCAAAAGACAAAAATGTTGAGTGGGTAGTGGTGTTCCTACACTTGCCTTATTAATGGGTGACTGAGTGCATGTCCTGCACTTGGCAGCTCCCCTTCCTTCCTATACTTCCACTGCACAGTCCTCTCTCTCCAGCAGCTTCCCACACTTCAATTATCTCCCAAGGGAAGAACAACATCATGACAGCACTTCTCCAACTGAGGTAGGAAGTCACCTCAGGAATTCTCCAGGCTAAGATCTAATTCTTCGGTCTTATTCTTTCCATTAGACTGGAAATAGTGCCTTCCGTATATAACTCATGATCTAATCACCGGTTTTCATATTTTTAGTCTTAAGTATATTCTATTGTGTTTCCATCAGTTTCTGATTTAACATTTGCCATGAATAGATGTTTCAGCATTGATATCATCTAATATGTAATTTTTATGCTCAGTTTTGCTTCAAATGTTTTGTTGTAAAAAGTCCCCTAATATAAGGCATTTCTGGATGTTATTTTTACTACTGTATATATGCCTTTTTTCTTGTCTCCTCTCTAATATATGTGTTTTAGTGTCTTTTTTGTTGGAAAATGTATCTCAAAGTTTGAAGTACTGCACGCACAGTGGGTTAGACAATCATACTAAGGCTCATATTGTGTTTTGGGAGTTGTTAACTAGGATTAGGTTGCCTACCTCTGTTTCATTCAATCATAAAACCCTGTGTTCATTCTTTCCTTTCTCTGCAACCTCCTCTAATTATTATTATTATATGTGGTTAATCTTTGGTAAGATTCACAGCCTTTGGGGCTGGTTGGTAGCTCAACAGCTCGAGTCCTAACCAAGGACCTAGGAATTATTATTATTATTATTATTATTATTTTAAGTAGGCTGACAGGATATAAGACTGGTATATAACTAGGGAGCCAGTATTGCATGCAGCCATAAAAAAAACTTTCGGGTATTGTTACAAGGGTTCCTTCAAAAGTTCTCACTGACAATGGAGTAGTAACAAGACTTTGTTAAATACATGGGAAATAATCAGTTAAATGAAAGGAATTTAAATGCCTGTTTAAAAATGTTCTGTTTTTCTTCTGACCCATCCAAATTTAGTTTTTGCTCTAATCATCCACTTCTTAGGCATTACCTTACTGACATTTTGGAATGTGTCTTTTGGAAGGTAACTTACGTCCAACTGTGGTCCTTAGGCTGGAAAAAAGTATATCTAAGACAGGACTCAAATTCACAGTCTCCTGATTTGCAGCCAGAGCCTTTAACAAAAAACTGACTCTCTATAGCTACACTGGCATCAATTAAAGATTTAGCTGACAAGACTTGCTCTTCCTAGAAACACCATCTTGAGCATGGGTTATGAATGAGCTCCTGAATCAAATTTGCCTTTAATGTGAATAATTTTGACAATGCAAGATGTTTGATGCCCAAATGCATTATACACAACAATCTCCTCTCTTGTGATATTCAGAAAATAAAGATTGGCCTATTTTTCAAGAATTTTTTTTGAACATGGCAAGTGTCTTTTCCCCCCTTTATTCTATGAATTTTCTCTGAAAATTTACCATTGATTCCAATTCTTAGTGTACCTTAAGGGTTGCTGAAAGAGAAATCTCCACTGTAGTCAAAATCAGAAGCAATTGAGATATATAGACAATTCTAGCCTGTAGTCATGAGATTCACTGGCTATCACTTGCTATTCCATATCTTAAATTCTCTGCAGAATTATATATTAACTATCTAGAATGCTTGTGGATTATAAAATGAATGTTAAATTATCTATTTCTGTTCTTCTCAAATGCAGAGTCCTCCCAAGGGATCCTGTGGATATTTGTTTCCTGCCCCTCCTTTTTCTGCCATGGACAATTTCAACTTCTCCACCACAGTGGCTTTTTGGGAAGAAAATTCAACAACTTCTGGTACAGCCTTTCTTTCTGGAAATTTATCCCTAGCTTCTAGTCTAGGTCTAGATATTAGTGGTGTCCTTATTCCTCTGGTATATCTCATTGTCTGTGTTGTAGGACTAGCTGGAAATTCTCTAGTCATTTACGTGGTTTTGTGTCATTCAGTGAGTGAATCAGTGACTAACATCTATATCTTCAACTTGGCCCTGGCAGATGAACTCTTTATGCTTGGCCTACCCTTTTTGGCAGCACAAAATGCTTTATCATATTGGCCTTTTGGCTCATTTATGTGCCGTCTAGTGATGGCTGTGGATGCCATAAACCAATTTACTAGTATTTTCTGCCTCACCGTGATGAGCATTGACCGCTATCTGGCTGTGGTGCACCCTGTGAAATCCTCAAAATGGCGGACAGTCCGAGTCGCTAAGACGGTCAGTGCCACTGTGTGGGTAATCTCATCTGTGGTGGTGCTGCCTGTTGTAGTGTTTTCACAAGTCCCTCATGGTATGAGTACATGCCACATTAAATGGCCTGAGCCTGCTTCAGTATGGAAAGCTGGTTTCATCATCTACACAGCTACCCTTGGCTTCTTTGGGCCACTGCTGGTTATCTGCTTGTGTTACCTGCTTATTGTTGTCAAGGTTCGTTCATCAGGAAGAAAGGTGCGAGCACTGACTGCTAAACGCAAACGCTCTGAACGGAGGATCACACGCATGGTAGTAATTGTGGTAGCAGTCTTTGTACTCTGTTGGCTACCTTTCTATATGCTCAACATCATCAATGTCATCTGGACTCTGCCTGAGGAGCCATCACTCTTTGGTATTTACTTTCTGGTTGTTGTCCTGCCCTACGCCAACAGTTGCACCAATCCCATCATCTATGGCTTCCTCTCCTATCGGTTCAAGCAGGGTTTTCGCAAAGCAATCTTGAGACCCTCCCGCCGAGTGCAGAACCAAGAAGTAGCCATGGCAACAACTGCAGATAATATGGAAGAAGAGGAAGAGCGGGAGGAAGAAGAAGAAGAAATGTTAGCTAAAGTAAAGGAGGTCAGCAAGATTACCCAAAATGGTAATGGAGGACAGCAAGAGAGTGAACCAGCCAGTGAGCTGGGAAGAGACAGTGAACACAAGCCAAACACTGAAGAGCCCATAAGTGGTGAGAAGCCCACCATAGTTAACATCAGCTGTTTATAGTGATTGGGAAATGGATCTCTTTGTCTTTCTCCTGAAATTGCCTGGGAGAGACTCATGTTAATAATATATTTTTTAAAAGAATAATTCATAAATTAAGGAGTTTTATAGTAACAATCAGTCCTGTGATGTCTTTTTGAAAGAAAGTACTCTACTAACATGACCATAACTTTTTCTATAAAACAGAATAACTGAACAGAATGGTATTTCTGAGAACAGAGTCGACCCATCATTAAGGTTAGAAGTAGGGATAAAGCTGTCTTTGTTCTTTGCAAATGCTCAGAGATTGATAATTGGAATCATCTGTCAAGCAAAAGTTCAACTAAATATCCCAGCCCCTCTAGGGAGAACAGACCTAGAAATGCACTCCACAGGAATGCTAAAGCTACTTTTATTGAGTTCAGCTACAACAACAGTAGCTTGCATGTGTGGTTGTATCTCCTCCTTCTCTTTCATATTATTTAGTTAAATAGGAATAGTGAGAAACTTCCAAATGTTATCTCATTGCAGAATTCAAAAATGTTTAATCCCTTTGGCCTCATATCTTGTCAAGGTCATCTGCCTTACTCCCTATAGGTAGACTGAAGTTGGTTTATAATTGGGCCTAGTACATTTCGATCTCAAAAATCTGGATCCTTACTACATGGCAACAAGAAAACATAGAAATCTCTCTCTCTTTTTTTGCCTTCTAATGGTTATTTGGGTTGATTGGGTTTTTTTTTGCAATCTAATGTGCAGTATTCAGATCTCTACAGGAACTGTTTTTGGATATAGAATTACTACTTAGTGGGAGTGATGGCTCAGCGGTTGAAGATGCTGAGTTTGACAATTGGAAATGGGGTGAGCTCCTGTTACTTGTCCCAGCTCCTGCCCTCCCCCCCCCCACAGCAGTTTGAAAGCATGCAAATGTCAGTAGATAGAGTTCGGTGGGAAGGTAACAGCGTTCCATGCGCCTCAGCATATAATC